CCATAATGCACATGTTGAGAACACTTTGGGAGAGTTTTCTCCTTCTACCATGTCACTGTCCAAAGAATCAATAATAATTTTGCCACTAACCAAAGATCTGAAAGGGTCACCTATGCAGAGACAATTTTCCTTTTCCCAAAATCTCCAACAAGAGTATTAAAATAGCTTATGAGCCATACTTAACCTCAAAACATGTGTCTTGGGTTGGCAAGACAACTTTATGAATTGTTTCTCAACCTGTGGGTCACGACCCTTTTGGTGGGTCAAAAGACCCTTTCATAGGGGTTACCATTGGACCATTGGAAAACACAGATTTTACATTACAAGTCATAACGGTAGCAAAACTACCGTTATGAAGTAGCAATGAAAATAATGTTATGGTTGGGGGTCACCACAACACTAGGAACTGTATTAAAGGGTGGCAGCATTAGGAAGGTTGGAAACCACACTGGCTTAGTAGGTGAAGGCCAAGCCTGAACTGCCTGCCTGACTGCCACATCACAAAGAAGAGAACTGACTCCAGCCAGGACTTTTACTCCCCACACATATACCATGCCATGTGCAAAATACATGCAAAGAAAAATCAAGACAAATGACATGTCTCAAAACACAGGACTTTCGATTTTGAGTTTATTAGTACCCTTTGTGCATCCATAAGTCCAAATGACACCTCTCAAGAACCACCCTATAATTGCATTTACGAAAGAAAATTTCATTTTAAAATGTATTATGGGTGTGTGTACACATGTGTGTAGGGGATGCTGTAGCCATGCCTGCTTAGGAGCTGGCTACAGGTGTGTCTGACCATGCCTGTGAGGTCAGGTGATGTAGAGTGAGGGGTGTTCAGGTGGCTCGGTTTCTGTTTCAGTTCACTTTCAGCTTGCTGTACAGAGTGCTGCCACGCTGGCTGGTTAGGTCACTCTGTAAGTAAGGTTTTTTCCCTATTAAAATCCCTTGTATTTTTATCTGGCTCTGTATTGGTAATTTTCCCACATTACATGTATGTGTCATGCATGTATGCAAGTGTAGGTATGTGCATACCACATTGTGAGCACAGAGGTCAGAGGACAATTTTCAGGAGTCATTCCCTCCCTGCAATGTAAAATTTGGGGACTGAACTCAGGTTGGCAGGCTTATGTAACAAGGGACTTTACCCACTGGGCCACTTCACTGGCCCTAAAAGGAAAAAATTAAGACTAGAGATACAAGGAAACCGTCTTATATCTTGCTTAGCTTTACACTTCACTTAATTTTTTGATTACAGAGTTATAGAGTACACCCTTTGATGACATAATTTCAAAAGCCACAAAACTCACACATGTAGTAGTTAAAACATTTCTTTGTTCCTTCTCCCTCCCTCCTTCTTTCCCTCCTTCCTCCCTCCCTCCTTCCTTCCTTTTTTCCTTCCTACCTTCCTTCCTCCTGCCCTCCCTCCAGACAAGGTCTCATTATATAGCCCTGGCTATACACCAGGACTTCCCTCAGACTCAGAAAGATCTACCTGCTTCTGCCTCTTGATTCCAGAGTTTTAGGTCTATGGCCACCAGGGTGGGGAGCATGGCAACAGGCAAGCAGGCATGGCACTGAAGCAGTATCTAAGAGCTCACATCTTGAATCACAAGCACCAGGCAGAGAGAGGTATGGAGCCTGGAATGGACTTTTGAAACCTCAAAGCACAACCCCAGTGAGACACCTCCTCCAAGACCACACCTTCCAATTCTTCTCAAACAGTTCTACCAACAGGCAGCCAAGGATTCAAACACATGAACCTAGGGCGGCCACCATACTCACTTATTCAAACCACCACAGTCACTTCTGTAACCGCTGTTATGAAGAGTTTACTACAGGCTTAATTGTGTGAGGTATGGAGATGCTTAAGGCCCCAGAGACAGTCCTTACACTGCAGGAGTTTGGTTCTAATACTAATGTTTCTGGCAATAGGGACAAAGCATAGATCTGCTGTGTTGCCCTACAGTAGCATGAAGAATTCCCCTTTACCCTATGACCTTCCACTCAGTCCACACCAGGATACCCAGCTTCACAAGAGAAATGAAATCTGAGATGAGCCAGTATGAATCAGACTGGAGTTTGTTAAAGACGTCTTTATCATAGATCTTAAGCACAGAATTTAACAGAGAGATGCCCACGGAAGGCACAAGACACACCGTGTATGAGTATGGGTTTTCCAAGGTAGAGTTGTAGTTTGGTTTCCTATGAGAGGTATATATATGATTTGGGTGACTCCCAAGTTAACATACCTAAAGGTTGCTAGGAATGTCCCACCTTTTAAACATTACTTGGAGATGTAGTTTTATGTGGCGTCCGTGCCATGATAAGTATTGGGTGAAGGCCTGGAGATTTAATTAAACACAGAGACATCCGGCCGCTTGTGCTATGTGCATCTGTCCATATTCATTTGTCTCCCTTATTCCGGGGGAGAGCAGCCTTATATACACTTACAGCACAGTGGGAAAACCCTAGGTGTAAGACCTTGTAGAAGAAGAGCTGGTGTTTTCCCAGGTGTAGTGGAAGGCTGGGGCTGTAAGCCCCGACTAGAAAACAGGATGCACCTGTGGTTATTGACTGACAAG